TTTAGTTAAATACTTGCTCTTTTGCATTGTGTGTTTCTGTCATTTTCTTTGTTGACCTTATTATTATCCACATGTCCCTCTTTCATTGGTTTGCCTATAACGGTCTCTAGCTCATTTTCCTTCTATACTCTCATTACATTACTCCCTCCATCAAAATCAACTTGTCCCCAAGGTTGAAATGAGATAACTGAAGTTTGTAAGTCACCTTTCCAATTTTGCCTATCACAACAAATGGACTAAAATATCGTAGCCCCAACTTTTGATTTTTTATCAAAACCATAGAATATTGTCGATATAGTTGGAGTTTCACCAAAACCAAGTCACCAATTTGGAATTCCACATCTAATTGTCTCTTATTTGTGTATTTCTTCTGTATTTGCTGAACTCATTGCAAATTGAACTTGAGCTTTTATAGTGTTGCATCCCTTGACAATAATTGCTCTTGTACTCAAAGTGAGTCACTATCGTGAAAATATATTTGAGTATTTTTTGTGGATCTCCCCCATACACCACTCTAAAGGGTGTCATACCATGCTAGTGCGGTATGATGTATTGTACCAATATTCAGCCCATGACAACATCTTAGACCACTCCCTTGGTACATTAAAAGTGAAACAATGTAAATACAATTCCAAACATTTATTAAGAGTTTCATATTGGCCATCCAATTATGGATGATATAGGCTGAGGACATCTTGAGGGTGGTACCATTGAATTGTCATAAAAATTTTTAAACTTGACTCGTAAAAACTTTGTCTCTATCCGATATTATGAATTTTTATAGTCCATGTAATTTTACTATATTTTTGAAGAATAGCTCAGGAACTCATTTGCTAGTGAAATCTTGTTTCATTGGAAGAAAGTGAGCCGCCTTAGATAGCCTATCAACGACGACATAGATTACTGTGAAGCCATAAGAGGCAGGTAGTCCCGTTATGAAGTCCATTGCCAAGTCCTCCCAAATCTGGTTTGGTATTGGCAATGACTGCAACAAGCCCGTGGATAATGTAGTGGTCGCCTTTGCTTGTTAATAAATCAAATATTGTTGCACACATAGTTTAATATTGTGGTGCATCCCTTTCCAATAGAATTGTGCAGAAATTCTAGCAAGAGTTTGAGAGAATCCTGCATGACCTCCGATCACTAAATTATGGAACTCTTTCAATATATTATGAATTAATTCATGGCCCGCGATAACTACAATTCCTGATTTCCATAATAACATCCCTTGATGTACCGAATAAGGAGGATCACACCCTAAATTGTTTGCATAAGCATTAATCAAGGTTTGAATGTCCTTGTCGGCAGTTTGTGCGTGCTGCAATTTAGTCAATAAAGTCAGCACTGCTTGAGACCAAGCAGCGTATAATGACCTGGAGAATGCATCAACGAGTATATTTTCTCTCCCTGGCTTATATTTTATAGTAAAGTCATAACCAAGTAGCTTATGAAGCCACTTTTGCTATTGTGGAGTTTGTAAGCTCTGTTCCATCAAAGTTCACAAGCTTTTTTGATCTGTTCTAAGCACAAACTTGTGACCAAGTAAATAATGCCTGAATGTTGCCACTGCCTCTGTGAGAGCATATAATTCTTGCAAATATGCTGATTGTTTCTGCATTGTTGGTGACATTTTTTTGGAAAAATATGCAATTGGATGTTTTTGCTGAGTCAAGACAACACCTATCCCCATTCCAGAGGCATCCATTTCTAACTGAAATGGTAGGGGAAAATTAGGTAAAGCCAACACAGGACCTTGTGTTAAAGTTGTCTTCAATTTAGTAAAGGCTTATGCCGCTGTTTTGGACCATTTAAAACTATATTTTTTCAGTAATTTCGTGAGTGGACCAGCTAAGGTGGCATAATTCTTGACAAATTGTCTTTAATAGCTTATCAATCCGAGAAAGCCTCTTAATTGTTTAAGATTTGTAGGTACGAGCTAAGCTAATACAACTTGAATCTTACTTTCTTCCATAGCAATTCCTTATGCTGAGACCATGTGGCTCAGATATTCTACGTGCAGTTTGCCAAATGAATATTTAGAGAGTTTGACATAAAGTTTATTCTCCTGTAACAGTTGGAGTAAGTGCTGAAAATGTTGTGAATGTGTGCACCATGAGGGACTATAAACCAAGATGTTATCGAAAAAAACCAAAACAGACTTCCGTAGCAATTTCTGAAAAATTGTATTCATGAGAGCCTAGAATGTTACTGGGGCATTAGTTATCCCAAATGACATCACTCTCTACTCATATAAACCTTGATGAGTTCTAAAGGAAATTTTATAATTGTCCTTTTCATGCACCAAAATTTGGTGATAACCCGCTTGTAGATCCAATTTGGAAAAAATTTAGCTCTGTGCAACTCATGGATCATCTCATCAATAGTGAGAATTCGGAAGCTATCCTTAACAATAATTACATTCAAAGTCCCGTAATCGATACAAAATCTCCATGTGCCATCTTTCTTTTTTACTAAGATAATTGGGGAAGAAAAAAGGACTATTGCTTGGCACAATTATTCCCATTTACAACATTTTTTATCTGCTGTTTTTGGCTAAATGGATAGCGATATGGCCTCACTTTAATAGGGTTCGACTCCTGTAACAGAGGGATAACGTGTATGAGACCGGTGGGGAGGGAGACCACTTGGTTCATCAAAGACTCTTTTATAGGTATGCAATAATAGGGCTAACTCTAGTTCCGTATCAACTGGTAATGCCAACAATTTATCTTAGGCGATACTGGTGTTATGAAACTGGAGACAATACATTTCAACAATGGCCTTTGTGTTAAACATTCTATTCAAATAATGGGATTATGCTAGAGCTGGTAGCTTCGTCTGCTCTCTTCTCAAGATTACAAATTGATCATTCAGCATGAATGTCAAGGATAAATTATTATAATCTGAAATATGAGCTCTAGTTGTGGCTAACCATGAAGCTCCCAAAACCAAATTTGCACCTTATATAGGTAATAAGTATGTTGGCAGTTGCATGTCATTACCCACAAAAACATTAAAATTGACAATTGGTTCCACGGGCAATTTAAGACAAGCTGCAATGCATGGTTGTAAAAAGTTGTCTAAATTCCCACCATCCAAGAGAACTTGAACTGGTAAGCCATTAATAATACCCTTAAATATCATAGTTGTCACTCCATTTGAGCCCTTAAGGGTATTGAAAAACAGGTGTGCTTTAGATCTCCCGTTGAATCCTTAATGCGAGTCTGCTCACTTTGTAGCTCCTTAAATCTCGTAATCCCCGTCATGAACAAAATGAAAGCATCAATGTAAACTAGCACTCACAACGAATGTAATAGTCAATAACACTCAAAAGAGAAATAGATACCCAACATTAAAACAACACCAAAAAATTGGATGTAGGGAAAAATTATTTCATTCAGTCATATCTATCAGTATAATAACGAACAAATAATAGAGAAAAGGAAAAAGTGAATCAGAGAAAGGAATGATCTCAACAATTTTCTTCCCCTCTTTCCTCTAACGACTTTTCCTTTTAAACCACGTAATCTTTCAGCCAAGTAGTTACTCTCTTGGATCGTGTATTTCTGCCGCTGACCCTGGTATCATCCATGTGTCCCCCTTTCCTTGGTTTGCCTGTAATAATCTCGAACTCATTTTCCTTATGTACTCTCGTTAGAAACCAGTAAAGTATAAAAATAAGGAAAGAAAGAATTGGTAGGTTGATGATGAAACGTAGATTCACTATTGAACATCGAAAATAATATTTAAAAATTGAAAAATTTTGTTATAAAACATATTTCATATATTTAGCTGTTACATATTATTTGGTACACGTGAATTTATGGAAAAAAAGGAAAGAAAAAATAAAAATGATAAGAAAAAAAGAGTTTGGCATGAGTGAATGTCAACAAAATATGTAAAAATTAGAAGATAGCATGAACGATTAATTTCATTTTAAATTCGGAAGAAAGGTATTGAAATCAACTGTGAATTAATCGCGCACATATAAACTAAAAATAAAATTATTAATAGATTAGGTACAATTAAATAGAACACTCTTTCTTATTCTTTTTCCTTTTAATTTTTTTAATTAAATAATTAATCTCTATTCTAATTCATTTTTATCTCATCTTTTTCTTTCTCTTCCACTTTCTATTTTTCTTTTTTTCCTATCGGGCCAGAACGAACTAGGCCTAGCCAACGTTGAGACACAACGATATGAAGAGGAAGAAAAAGATAATGAAGTTTTCCCTGTTATAGCCAAAGTTGCCAGAAAGAAAACAGATTTTATTTTTGCATATTTCAGATCAGAATACCGTGGAAATAACTAAATAGATGGAAATTTTTGATAGGCTGATATGCAAGCACGCACTTAAAACAGAATAATCATGTGTTAAAATGAAAGTTTACATGGAAAGTTTGAAGTGAGAGGGTTTTAAAGACTAAGTAAACACATTAAATAGTTTATTTTCCCTTGCATGTTAAGAAGCACGACATAGTCCAACACAGGGCCACAATGAAAATTACAAAGCCAACGAAAAAGAGAAACTAAAAACTATTTACTTTGACCATCAAACACACCGAGTTCACAATCAACGAACTAGACCACCACTGCGCTGCGACACACAAGAGAACGATGTGAAAGAATTTAGTGAGTTCGTGAAATGCAGTTTCCCCTGTTTCTAAAGAAAAACATACCATGATTTACGAATTTTTTTTCTCTTTTACGTATCATGTTCAAAATACCATGGAAATCACTACAATACAAACTTCAAAAATAGTAACCCATGATGCCCGTTAATTAACAAGCAAAAAAAGCTCACTCTCGAAAAGCGCCATCATAAAAATTACAAAGCCAGAACCTAACATAAGGAAAAAAATTAACCAAGAGAAAGAGGAAGCCTATGCATATGAACATATAATCTAATAACAAGGTAAGAAAAGGCAAGGGCATGGGCATAGACGATAGGGATAATATTGCATCATCATGGATCAACCTTATTGAGATGCCACAACAACTACAAGGCAACAACGGTTTCGCCTTTGCTACTTCTAACTTGATGAGACCCAGAAGGCGTAGCCGCAACTTGTTTCTTTGATGCCACACCACACTTATTATCCTTTCGCTCATCCTGCTTCATCTGTTTTTCGCGGCATTCTGAACTGCAGAAAGCACTGTCACCTCTGCAATTTTCATTTTCAAGTTTTCAATTGCTGCAGAACAATAAAAATTGCACAGGTAGCAATAAGAGAAAATACCTACTTGTACATGTAGATGTCACGACCAGGTACTAAACGACGTTTGCAGAGAAAGCAAACACGTAAGAACTCAGGGGTTTGTGCTGAATCTTCCGACTGCCTTCTATAGTTTCTTGGTGAAACCAGGGCCCAAACCCTGCTCTGATCTATGCCGTTCAACCCAACAACCGGTGGGTGTTTCCACCATGGGCCTGCCCCATCTCCTCCCTTGACGGGGTTGTTTTGATCATCGTCCAAGGTTGTGTTCAGATCGAAGGTTATCTCTGACATGCTCGTAGTTTTCTTCATTGGAGGACGAGTTCTCTTCCCTAACAACATCTCCTTCTAAATTATTATTATTATAATTATTTCTGTCGGTTCAAGAAAGTTTGATACTGAGTTAGAGGAAGAGGGAGGAGAAGTAAGAAAGGGAACGGGAGCAGGTTACAAGTAGGTAGAGAGGAAAACGGCGAGGCTTGGGAGATGAATAAAACAAGAACCTGAAACTGAGGAGTGAATCTGGGCCGTTGATGATCAGACTGATGTTCATCATTAACGAGAAATGAAATCCAACGTCAACCTTTCCCTTTCAGTTCCCATCATTTTATTTTATTATTGGAGTTGTGTAATTAACATTTCCCCCCCTTTTTTTTAATGCAAATTGGAATAGGAACTTCGGATACTTTCTAGTCTCCCAAAAAATTAAATAAAAAACACTTAGGAGGAGTTTCATTGGCCAGCCAAATGTTCAATCATTGTAGTGGTAACTTCGTATCTCTCAAATGTCTGTTATGCTCTTCTTTTTTTCCCAGAATTACAATTCAATTTACTTATACTTTTGTTGAAATTTAAATGTTTCTTAAGGCCATTATTGAAATTTTAGATGTATTGTTATAGTTATTTTTATTCCGTTGTTTATTCAATTTATTCAAAATGACGTTAATTTGTTATAATTTAAACTGAATTTATGGTTTACTTCTACGTTTAAGAATCAAACTATCACTACGTAATGAATATTATATCTTAAGTAATATATTAAATATAATTATATGCATGACAATCTAATTTACTGTTGTTTTGTGCAAATAAAACTAAATTTGAAACTCCTAAAAAACCTTGATATAATGAAAAATTATGCAAATAAAATAATTAAATATTTATAAAATAGATTTTTGTATACTCTTTCCTACCATTGGTAGCGTTGTTATGTCGTTAAAATTTTCAGTCAAATTCATTATCGATCATTGTGAGATTCTTGGGCTTAAATCGAATAAAAGACACTAAGCAATAGTGTCTCTAAATTATTATTTTTTTGTTTTATATTCTATTTATTTAGAGTTGAGTGAGACAAGTGAAGGTATCAAGAGGGGAGAATTTATCTGGTGAGTGATTTTTGGGAGATGGATCCAAAAACAATAAAGTGAGGCATCTTTAGTTGTAACCAGTACTTTCCCAGTGGAAATATCAAAGATTAGTTGGGGGAGCTGGAAGTAGATGATAATGGAGAATCAATTTACATGGGATTGATTCAACCATACCAATGGTCTTAAGTATCAGTTTTAATTACTTTCAGGGATAATTTCGTCATTGCAATGCTTCTGCTTGATTCTAGTAAAATTATCACTCTTAGTAAAACACATAACAAAAATGATTTTGATAACTTCTTAGTCCTATCTTTTTTATTTATTTCTTTTGCAATCTACTCTTCATGTTTGGTCTGTATACGTAATGTGAATTTGTTTAATGTTGAATCGTTATCACAATGATCATTGTTTCATGCATATATCCATCAAAGTAGATAAAAGAAAATTACATTCAAGATGTTCCTGTTCTATTTTAGTGTATATGTGCTAGGGTGTCTCTCATTGTTAGTTTGTGTTTTATATATGAAAAAAAAAGCATGAGACATGTTAATAAAAGTATGATAGTATATGTGTTTTTATTTGTTTATTTATTTTTTAATTATGAAGTTGTTCTTTGTTGGTGCATATATGTTACTGTGATTGTCACTAATTCTTCATAAGAATATGTGAAGAGTTTTGTAACAAAATAAGGTTAGTATATAGAAGAATGAAGGTGATGAAATTAGTAGCGTGTGAAACAGAATTTTTTGTACAACATCATTATATATTTGATTGATAATTTTTAAATTTTGTGTATATTTTTAATGTATAATTTAATAAGTATTTTTTTTCATAACTTACAGTTTCGGTTGACCAAATTTTATAAAATATTAATTAAGTAAAATTGATGATTTTTTTAGTTCTTTAATCGATGAAGGAATTAACTGTTTATGCATGCTCAACCCACTGATTACATAACCTAATTCACCCAAATAAATCATTATCGTTGGGTGTTTAGCATGCGAGTCACATGCTAAACACAGACAACAATAGTTAATTTATAAATTGTTGAAATTAGATTATAATAACCCAAAACTTCTTTAGATAACTTTTGAGATAATGTGAAAAATATATAATTTGGAATTAAAATAAAATATTTCATAAATATATCACAAGGAATAAATTGAGAAGAATGATAAGTCTTAAAGAGTAATAATAAGATTGAATATTGAGATTAAAAGAGTCCATTAAGAGGAAGAATAATTTAAGAGAGTAATAAATTAGAATATATAGATAAAAAGTACAAGCTACAATTAATGTTGATGGTAAGAAAATATTCCAAAGTGCATATCCACTACAAGAAAAAACGCTATTAGCGACCGAAATAATCGGTCGCTAATGGCCAAAAATCGGTCGCTATTCTGTTAGCGACCGAAATTAGCGATCGAAATGGTTGGTCGCAAAAGGGCAAGTCGCTAATTTGTTAGCGACCGATTTACATTCCGATCGCTAAATAGCGACCGATGAGGTGGTCGCTAAATAATTTGGTCACTTATTCATTGAAGACCAAAATAGCGACCGAAAATAATATAATAAATCGGTTGCTAAATCCGTGGTAAAGTTTTAAAAAATAGCGATCGATATATTCGGTCGCTAATATATTAATATAATTATTTAAATAATAATTAAAATCGGTCACTAAATCGGTACGCTAAATTGGAGACAAAGTTAAAAATAATAGCGACGGGTATAATCGGTCGCTAATATATTAATTGAATTATTTAAATAATAATTTAAATCGGTCGCTAAATCGGTCGCTAAATTTGAATTGTATATTATAATAAATTTGTAGCGACCAAAAATTCGATCGCTAATCTAACCAAATCTGAAAATTTTCGTTTAAAATTTTGTATATCCAATTTGACAAAATTTGTACCTGCTTAATTCATCCAAACATAACACAAATGAAAACTTAAGAACTAAAGTCAAATTATTCAAATCATAAAATTTGTACCTTCTTAATTCATCCAAACATAACACAAATGAAAACTTAAGAACTAAAGTCAAATTTTGTATATCCAATTTTACAAAATTTGTACCTGCTTAATTCATCCAAACATTACACAAATGAAACTTAAGAACTTAAGAACTACTCAAGATTCAAAGTCTTAATATCATAAAATTGAAAATTAGTCCTCCGGTATATTGTCGGTGTCATGTTGACTTGTAGTAGGAATTTTATGAAGGAAGCCAAGATCTATTAATTATTCTATTATAATAATAATCCTAATTAATAATTGAAGGTCATTCTTTGAGGAAGCCAAGATCCGTCCGATTCCGGATCAATGAAGGTGTGACTCAAAAGCTGCTCAGCTCCTTCATTCTTCAATTCTCCGGCCCATTTCACTCTTTGGGATGGACGAAACCCGGTCCAGAACACCCGCACTCTTATCAAATTACTCCAAACTTGTTCAACTCAATAAACAACAATTTTATACACTTTAGACCCTCTTTCACTTTGATGTTTTTATGAAATTATCAACAATTTTGTTGTCGGATCCATTGATTTAATGAGTATAAGAAGGCCTTGGTGATGATAACAATACTACAAAATGGAGTTAGAAATGATTGCTCGTATTCATAGAAGCAAGAAGTTCTTTCATTCTCAACTTTGCCCCAATTATTCCACCCCGTAGGCTTTATACATTGATCCATGAAAGTGAATGCAAAAACCACTCTTGCAAAAGGTCTCCATGGTCTTCTCGGATAGGCATATGAAGTTCCCCCATTACCTGTGACAACACATCCGCAATGACACCACAAACAAAACATCATGTAAGGAACCAAAATGTTCACAACATAATAAAAGTACTTTACTTGTGTAGTATCCTTTCTTGGACTCGGAAGTTTAACAGATTAACACACCAAAGAAACACCGTAAAGGGAGAGGAGCAAAATATTGACAAGGAAGCATAGAGTAGTATGAGATTCAAAGATTTTTATTCTAAGATTTCTTACGAGATTCCCGAATTCATTGAATTTTCAAGGGATCATTTCCCTAGCTTCAAGAGAATCTGGTTCTTGTTTTAACCTAGAATGTTTTTTTCTAATTAAATACTCCTAAATCCGTGTTAGCCATGCTTCTAAACATTTACAAACCAAACTGCAAAACTTAAAAGCAAGATCATCTTCAAAACCAGCATTCTCTCATTATCTTAATCAGTTTTCATAAACATGACTCGAGTCATGATGATAAACTTCAACCTAGGTACTTACTTGATTTCACATCGGAAGAACTAAGAGAGAACATATTTTGCCTTGGAATTGGAAAACAAAGTAAGAGTCACTAACACCTGTTGTATTGTAGGGGAAACAATATGATTGAGAAATGTCTCTTTCCTTGTTAAACAAGTTACAATGACTAAAAAAAATATTATGTGGGAAGATGATGTTGTAAGTATTAGGCATGATCACACACCTCGGGAATACATAACCAGTTTTTCCTGTGGAGAGTTTACGCTCCGTGCGGTTATAAACCCTGCGGACTTGCAATGGATGTGACAATGTTCCAAGAGTGCAAGTACTATTACCAAAAATGAAGTCCACACTCCCTTCAATGTAACAATCTTTCAAGTATTGCTTTCCATAATGTAAGTACAAGTGTGTCCTACACTAATCACAAAATAAGTTTATTTATCACCTTGGTACCTCAGATTTTCCTCAAATGAAACAGAAGGATAATGGTGTACAAAACCATCTAGCCTAACAATCATGGCCTCTTGTTAATTGAAGATCTTATTATATTTACGCAACACACACTATAAAGGATACATCATGCACACATAACTTTCTAAAATCAAACTTAGAATAAAAATATGAAGATAGTGAAGCACCTGCCACCCAAGGAACCTGCAATTATAGAAAGCACAACGATCTGCTGTTACTCTG